AGTGAATATTGGTTGCCATTCACCTTCCAGGAGAAGGAAGTTTAAGATGGTTTATCCATCAGCTTGTCCATAGCCTATCCCCAAAGCTGCTTCTTTAGAGCTCCACAGTTTCAACTCAGAACTTTATAAAGTGTGTATGAGGGAGAAGTGGGTAGAGGAGGGGGCATGGAGCGTATCAGCAGAGTTGTATGAACCGCTGTACTGCTGAGAGAGTGCTGTGCATAACACCAGGATGAAAACACCTCCTCTTACAAGCCCAGAGGCTGTGTGATACCTCTTCCCCTGCTTGTATGCCTTGCTGCTGCTTTCCTCGTGAAGCAAGGAAGCCATTTGGAAGGAAGTCCTTTGGACTGTGATTCAGGAGAGTGATTTGTCCTGTCTCTGCCTGGCTCATCGCTGGCAAGAAAACTGCTCCTGTGAGGACGCATTTTGTTTTAGGCAGGACTGAGGTGGTCTGATTGGAGCCACAAAAGCAGTCGCTGCTGCTGAGAGGTGCTGGTTTCCCTGGGAAATCTAAGGTTATCCCACAGTCCTCGGGAAATGTAACCCAAATTGGAAGAGGATTAAACTGGAAGAACAATAAAAGCAAGGGAATGGAGAGAAGGGTAAACAGAGCAGGAATCACGCAGAATGTTTCCCTGCATCTGGGTCTGAAAGGCATCTAAATATAACGAATACTGAAAACTTTAATCCCATCCAGTATAAACAACAACAAAGCCTTGTTTTGCTTTGGGTTTTCTTCTCCCTCCCTGGCAGAGAAATAGGAAAAAATTCCTTTCCAATCCCACAGGCAAATTGAGGACAGGATGAAACCCTGCCCCACATGGTGGCACAGCCCTTCATAGCCTCTCAGGATACTCAGGTTGGAGGCTGGACACAGCCCCATTGAGCCTGACTTCCCAGTTCACACTGGTTTGGCTGGGACGTAACTGGAAATATCCAGGCATCTTCAGAGCTGCTTTTGTCAGTGTGGCTGTCGAGAAGCACAAAACCTATACCATTGGCAGACCCTTTTACAGCTGCAACTCAAGCCAGAGTTTTCCCCTTGCCAAAGGACCAGGGGGATGAGGAGATTTGCAGCAATACCATCTGGCTGCTCATTTTTAACTGTGTGTGGTTGTCCATAGGAACTGGAAAGACCTTGTCCCAAACAGCATCACCTCAGAGCTGCAATAAGGTTTTGTTTTGGGGGTGTTATTATCTTGATGAGGGCAGTGGAGGTAGAGCAGGTACCAGAAGTGCAGCCAAAACCATGGAAGGAAATGCTGGTGCTGCTCAGGCTGCAGGGAATGATGGAGACCTGCAAGATCATGACAGCAGTGGGACAAGCAGATGGGGGAATATTGCTGTTTTGATGGATGCAGGCAGGAGCTGGGGCTGCTGGAGGCATCTGAAGGGAAGGGCAGCAGAGAGAGGTGGGGCTCATGGACCACCCAAACCAGTATCTCCTATTGCTGTGGGACAGTGAGTGCTGGGCTACAGGGTGCCCATGGGCTTACAGGGACTGGTAGAGTATTTCCCGTGTTGTTAAGCCTGAGATGACCTTTATATTTTTGAATGCTGAAGGTCAGAGGTCTCACACTCATCTTCTCAGCTTTGTTGGTTCTTCATGTTCTAAAAGCCCACCATGAAGCCCTGCAAGGTGCCCATTGTACCATACCATGGCCAGTTAATCTCCCAGTATTATATATGGGGAGACAGAGATGGAAGCTTCCCCAGGCTTCCCTGTTTGACTCATGGGCTGATGTGCAGGGAGAAATTCAGAAAACCCAGAGGAAACATTAAACTCCTCGTGCTGTGTTGTTAATAAAAATTCCCTTGATAGAGGGAGTGCATAAAACCATGAGATTGCAAAGACCAAGAGCTAATGTGATGCAGCAGAAATGTGGGGTGGAGGAGGAGCTCCTTGGCTGGTAATGATGGTGAGTAGAACAGAGTTTATACCTGAAATCTTTTCCTCCTCTCAGCCCAGAAGCTTTGGCTTTTGCAATAGCTGCCTTCTTCTAAGGCCAAGGGTATGTGAAAGGAGTCGCAAGCAGAAGCCTGTGACCTGCTGTGGACTCAGCTGGGTAAAGGAATTCCTCAAACACGAATGCAGGAATTCAAAGGTCTTTTCGTGTCATCTATTTCTGATGTCCCAGAACTGATGGTGGGAATGCTACCTTGATGTTTCCGGCCTATCTGGAGTAGGAAGGAAAGTGTTTAGGAACAGATGAACAGCTGCTGTAAAATACAAAACCCTGTGAATGAATCATGTTTGCAGTGGTGCAGAAGTTGGTGTGTTAATAATGGTGGAAGAGATTCAGAATGCACGTGTAAGCTCCTCATCCCAGTAGGACGAATTCAGGCTTGGGATAAACTACCAGGTAGAGATAAACAGCCAACAGCCAAATGAAGGCTGATCTTTGCTGTGCAATGCACATTCAGGCTACAGGATTGTCCTGTTGTGGGCTGCATTTCAGCAGGTTGGCTGCTTAAAATACATTTGGCTCCTTGCTAGGAGAGTAATTCCTGCTTGCAGCAAAAACTAATAGCAAGCTCCCGAGCATTAGAAAGAAACCCCCCAGGAAGAGTGGAGTAAGTCAGTTTGTACCCCAAAAGTGCGTGTCCCCTTAGATCCGGGTCTGAGGAGCTGCTGCTGGTGATGCTTAGCAGCAAGGGATTTGCAGTGGCATGGATCTGGGGGGACAAAGGAGCAGTAGATGGGTGGCAAAGTGGGATTTTATCCAAATATGTGGCCAAGACACTAAGGATAAACAGCGCTAACAAAGCAGTGAATAAACAAAGGACGGCAATATGACCTGATTTCTATCAGTATTCGCTTGTATTGAGTCAGTTCCCTGCCTTGTGGACCGGGTTTCCTGTTTATACGCCACTTGCAGAGGAGATAGTCACAACAAAACCCGTAGCAATTGGCGCCTGGAATTTATCTCATTTCCAGAGTTAAAACCAGCCCCATTTCTGCAGTCATGATGGAGTGGTGAGGCTCTCGCTGCCTGCTGTGATTGAGCATGGGTGATCGGGCATCAGTTCTGGTTCCCAGGTCCTGTCATCTAGCCACATCTTGTTAGGATCTGAAATGATTCGTTTGATCCAAACAAGGGAGAAAGTGTCATATGCTTGCAAGAAAAAAGACAAGGAATTAACTCTCTGTAATTTCTGTTGCTCCTGGTTTGACACCCAATGACAGGAGCCTCTGGAGTCAATCTTAGGAACATATGTACAAAGCTATTTAAGGGGAAATTCTGTCTTATCATCTGTAATAATTTATACTCCCCAGGCTGCTTATCTTGTGCTGACTGGTGGGACCCCTGTGTGCAAGCTGAGCTTCTGTAATTAACCTTCTTCCAAAAGACAGATACTTTTGGTACCTTCTTTGGTGCTCTTGACAGGAGAACCCTACATCAGTCAGTCATCACTCCCCTCTCCCGGCATGGCACAAGGGAATTTACACGGGTCTTCAAATTTCCCTGCTGAAAGGAAGTGAAAACCTCATGTAGTTTTGGCAGAGGAGACTTAAGAGACAGAAAGAAGAGAGTCTGTGTGGGATTATGGTGATGCAAGGTCTCTCGGAAACAGCCAGCTCCAGTCCGTGCTACCACTGCCAAGACTTGTGGGGATGACCAGGAAGGGGTGATGTTGCTTTTAAGGCATTAATCCTACCAAAACATCTGCTCTGGATTTGGTAGTTGCTCTGTATTTACTAACTCCAACCAGGGTCCTCATTGCATGAACCTGTCCAGACCCCACAGCGTGACCACCGTGTGTTGCAAGTGCTGAAAGATGTTAGCAGGACGTGAGGCATTAGATGATCCCCAGATCCCTCCCGGCTCTGTGGTCAGTCTCTCTCCTCCATCTGCTCATTGTGCAGTCCCTCCTTGTCCCACCTTCCCAGGCAGGAATCTCCAGGAAAGGGTTATGTGCTTACTGCTCTTCTTGGGCTTTTGCTGTCTGGAGATGGAAAGGTAGAGGTGATGGACCAAGGAAAGGGAATGCTCACAAAGTTTGACAAAGCTTTCAATGGAGCAGTGAAGGGCAAAATAAGGAAAGATTCATCTATTTTACTTCAAAAGAAACCCAAAACAACCATTTCTTTGTGAGATCAGCAGTAATGTTGCTGCTATTTTTTTACATAGCCCATGAGTTGTTTTTTTTTACCTTTGCATCTCTCTAGCGAGGGGTTTGACTCTGTTTTAATGGCATTTCAAGAATTTCCTGTTTGTTTGTGTTTTAAGAAACTCGACGAGTATTTCCAAATAAAGAAGGTCTGAAAAAGAGGATTTAGCTCATGGAGGAGGATAATTTCCATTTTCCAGGATGCTGAGATGATGCCATATACTCAACCACAGAGATGCAGCTTGAGGAAGGGCTGGTGGCCAGGTATGGAGGCAGGCCAGGTAATGCTCCTTGTGCTGAAGAATCCATGATACTGCTCATCTGAACACCAAGAGCTAAGCCTTATCCCTGCCAAGTGGCTTTAATATGTGCTCATCAGTCCATCCCACAAAGATTTCAGATTGTGGCATTGTGAGGCACAGCTTTAACAGGGTCATTTATGAAAGTCTGCATCTGGAGAGAAGAAAGCAGCAGATCTGCCAAGCCACCCCAGTTCCTGCTTTTTACACAACAAGAGCCAACATTATGGCTTGAGCAATGGATTCACTAATATGTTACAGACACAGAAAGCCCTAGGAAAATGAGGGAGGAAGATGTTTCCTTCCAACCTCAAGAACAGCTGATGTGGGGCTGCTGGTCAAAGCAGAAGATAGAAGAAGCCACCTTCACCAAGGAGGACTTTAAAAGGTTGAGGAGAACTTGTAGGAAGGCTCAAAGAGAGAAAAGAAGAGCCGCAGGGATGCTCTTCTCCAGCCTCAGCTGTTCTGGGAGTCACCAGGCCATGCAGTCAAGAGGTCAAACCAAGTTCAGCAGTGAATGCCCAAAGTGATCCCTTGTCCTTGCATATGTGCTGGCTGACCATAATCATTCCGATTTCCACAGAGCATAATTACTTTGCTCTGTGGAAACATGCCTGAAACAACCGAAGAAGCACTGGAGTTGAGGTGTTTCTGCAATCATCTCCATAGTTCCTGAATCCCAAGAGATGTGTTCAGGTTTTGAGGCTCATTCTGCTTCTGGCCCCAAAAGAGGGCCAGAATGAGGCTCATTCTGCTTCTTCCATCCATCTCAGCCAGCACTGCTGCTGCATTTCACCTCCCTCAGACCAGATGCAATGGTGGAGACAAGTCTAAAAGCCAGAGCAGCCTCCGTGTTAAGCCCAGGTTCAGCATCCTTGCAGCTGCAAAGCTGAAGTTCAAAGGTCTCTCTCTTTGCTTGGTGCACGCTGTGTTAATTTGTCAAGTTTTATCCGTTCCTGCTCTGCAGCAGCTGCAGCGTGTGAATCCCTCCTGCTCCGCCAGTCCGCGGCTGGAAACACACCCAGAGCAGCGCTCCGGAGCCTTTCTCATGTAAATGTTTGCTGGGGGACCGCTAATTATCTCCCAAACCCAACTGAAGGCCCTTCAATTGGTTTTACAGTCTGCAGTTCCATGCCTTTGACAGCCCCAGCCATGCCCGGCTTGTTCTGGCATTCCTGGGCTCCTCACATGGATTTTTACTGTCAAACAGTGCCTTTTGTTATTGCTTACCATCAGTCAGTGGCACTTCAGATGAAGTAATTTCCTTTTTGTTTCCTTGCTCAGTCCCTGCTGGTCAATGTAGGATGAGATCACCTGAATCTTATTTGGGGGGACAAAGGGGAAATTGGCAACATCTCCATAGGGCTTTTTCCCCCTCTTTGACCAGGGTGGGAGTTGTGCGGAATAATGAACATTCATTTGCTAAGTGATTTTGCAAGCATGTTCTCAAGAAATGCAAATACTCCAGGACTGTGGTGGGGTTGTTTTCTACCCTTCATCTAACCTTAGCCCCTGACTCTGCAGTTCTGTGTGCATGTTTCAGCCTCAGCTCATGCTAAGGCAATTGAAAGACTGCACGTCTGAAGCTCAGCGTACCTGCAAACCTCTCTTAAGGTAGAGGTGCTAAGATACAGGAGACCTTAAGCTTTTTGAAAATGCTGTTATATCTCAGCTTAAAATAGAGGCTGTTTGAACCTCTTGAGGTGTGTGCAAGGGAATTTCAGTTGGAAGCAAGGAGCTTGAGAATACGACTGTCTCCGCAGATAAAGTGGCTCTCTGATGTTTGCCTTCCACTAAGATAACCCAAGGAAGCTGACGCCTCCAGGACTGTATTGTTTCACATCAAACCATGTTCTGGCAGAGCAAAGGTGATAGCAAGGGTGTTGATTTATGAAGTGGTGGCTGAGCTCCCAGCCAGAAGCAGCAGAGATGTTTTGCATTTGAAATATGACAGCTCAGAAGCATGTGGTCTGTCTGGAACCCATGCGTGTGCTGGGTTTCTGGAGCCTGGTGAAAGTCACCCACTTATTTGGGGATGCTGAATGGGTTTCTCTTGCTTCTCCCCAGCTGCCTGTTTCTCACTGTAGGCACAGAGGGGCAACAAGACCTTCCTCTGTTGGGTTTTGAATTAAGTTGACCAGTACATTCAGTAATGATTAAGGGAGGCAAATGCACATATGCTTCCCTTAGAAAATAAAGCAAAAAGCGCTATTACTCCTTCCCAACCAGTTAATGGACTTCAAAGAACAAACCCGATTCAGGGCTTGGACTGTGGAAGAGATTGGCAAGGGATGGTGAGAAGGGATAAATTTAGCAGGATGGGACAAGCCAGTCTGAAGACCCCCTCTCACATCACGAATGTAGCCCCATGAGGGCATTCAGTGGGAGAACCTCTGCTTAATTACAGCATCATTGCTGCTCTGGGTGCAGTTCTCCTGCCTTCTGAAGATGCCTTGACACTGGCCAGTGGAAAACTGCTCTAAACATGGGTTTTTCCAGATATCAGACCAAGCCAAAGGCAGTGCACCAGGGAGGCATGAGTATGATTGGAGTCCATTAAGATGCAGGGATGAGAAAACATATTATCTTATTCCCTCAACTAAGGAGAATCAACTGCATGTAAACATGGGCATTGCGAGTCCTGGAAATAGTCACTGGGACAGCAGCAGCAGCAAATGCAGATATAATTTAACCCTTCTCCTTTTATCCTTCACACTTCAGAGCTGCAGGGGTCACCATGTCAGAGGTGTAAAATATTGGAGTGGTTTAGGAATGACCATTCATAATACTGGAAAAATTTCCTTGAAAATTCAATATTAGAAGAGTATGATGCAGAAATTAGGATTTAAGGAAGAATTTTAAACTTGATAGGAATGAAAAACTCATCCAAGGACCTGGATAAATTACAGCTAATCAGAATTATGGTGGATAATTGCTTTAGGAAATCAGTGTGTTCAAGGGGAACATCCAGGAGGCAGGTGTGGAAGCTTCTTTAGCCTGTGGGTGACTGTCCAGCTTGTGGAGAAAGAGATTCAAAGGGGAGGAACGGCCCAGGGCTGCCCAAGGGCAGGGGCAAGAGGATCCCAGCACCACTGCCCAAAGCATCATGCAGCCCCAGCCAGGGTTGAGGATGCTGCAGGTGCCACCTGCAAGGCACCAGCTCAGGCTTCAGAGCTGCTGCATTAATAACATCACCCTTGTTCAAGGTTATGGTGTGACTTGATTGCTCCTGATTAGGGATTTGTATTCACTTGTGAGAGCCTGCAATTTTTATTACCTTTATGGTAATAACTGCAAATAATAAAATGACAAACTATTGTAATTAAACTTCAATTAATTACAAACCCATTACTTTTAGGTTTATTCACGGTAAGGACAATGATACTGAAAACAATTCATTAAAGCACTTGATACGTAAATTGTGAAGGAAAGCATTAATATTGGGTAGCTCATGTATTTACTTTCTGCAGAGCAGTAGAGAATTTGCTTAAGGAAAGGCAGCCCCCTGGATGATTTTAACTGCTTGCTTTAGGGAGCAGAGAAATACCAAAGACTCTCAAGGTGAAATGATTCCCAAAGTCAGGTTCTGCATCCTTTAAAGCAAAATGCTTAGCAAGCAGAAAAAAGAGATCCCTGCCTGGCCTTGTACTGTGCATGGCTAATCACTTTAACAGCCGCGGGGAGATGTGGCAATCCTGTAGAGGTGGGGAAGAGGGCAGTCCTCCCATTCCACATGTGTTTTACTCCTGATGGGTAACCCTACATACACAGTGCTCGGGGAGAGGGTCAGCATCGCTTTTGTAACACCAAGCAAGCAACGTGCCCTTTAATTCAGCTATAAACACCTCCCCCCAAAACACTTTCTATCTTACTGAGTTAGTGCTGCTCCATCAGGCTGGCAAGCCTCCTATTCTGACTCTCTAAACTGAAATAATCTCATTTCTGATGGTCTATTTGTCTTCAGCTTTTGCTGATTTAATTCAGTGTAACAAGCTGAGTGGGACTGTGCTTTTCCCAGATAACCTGAGCACAGATCACTGCACATCGGTGCAGTAAAACATGGGCCACGTTGGGTGCAGGATGCTGATCACGCACCCCTATCATGCCATTCATGCTCACAAAGTCCTTTCCTTGGACCTGCAGGAGCACCTTATGCAGCAAAAGTGCCTGGTGCAACATCTCCACGCACAGTGGGTCCTTATCCCCATGCAATGGGGAAAGGTCATTGCTGCTGTGTCAGGCCATGTGCTGCAGCCAAATGGCACGTGGGTATTCGTTTGCCTTCTCTGTCCTGTGGGAATGGGTTCCAGTCTTAACAAAGAGAACGGACTGGTAATGATGAAAAGCACAGAATAAACACTCAGGGTGGTCAGCCCTGGGGGGCACAGGCTGCACAGTGTGTGGCAGGGTGTGCCGGAGGGGTATGTCTGTGCAGTGAGCACCCCAGCAGAGACGTCTTTTCACCACCTCTCAGTCAGCAGCGTTCACCACCTCCTCCCAGCAGCCCAGCCCGGTGCACATTGGCCTGGCGGAGCGCAGCACAAAGCTGGTTTCAACGGCTCTAATGCTCATCAGTGCCGTGTTGAGCAGCACAAGGTGGGTACCGGCGCTGCGGCGGGAGACGCTGGTGGCGCTGCGCGGACGCGGGCTCTACACGCGGAACCGCACCGCACCCGCTTCACCCTGCGGGCCCCGCGGACCCGGTGAGTACCGCGGTCCTGTCTCTCTGTGTGCGGCCGCAGAGAGCCCTGCTACGCTGCAGGGTGGGAGTCTCGCTTCCGCGGTGCAAGGCGAAACGCGGAGTGGGTTGGCCCTTCGTTGCCTCCCCGCCGAAGGGAGGCGCAGTGCAAGTGTGAGGGGGAACGGCGGAGGGCCTGGGGTTGTTTAGTCTGGAGAAGGCTCAGCGGGGGCCTTATCGCTCCCTACAACTGCCTGACAGGAGGATGGAGTGAGTTGGGGTCGGTCTCTTCTAAGTAACAAGGGATAGGATAAGAGGCAAGCTGCGCCAGGGGAGGTTTAGGCTGGATGTTAGGAACAATTGCTTCCTCAAAGGGTGCTCAGGCATTGGAACAGGCTGCCCACGGCAGGGCTGGAGTCACCGTCCCTGCAAGTGTTCACACCCCGTGTAGATGAGGCCCCCAGTGCTGTGGCTTAGTGGTGGCTTTGGCCCTGCTGGTTAACAGTTGGACTGTATGAGTTTAAAGGTCTTTTCCAACCTGGTTGTTTCTGTGGTTCTATAATATTCACCTTCTGCTAAAGGGAGCTGTCATTTTCCCGCAGCACCCTCTGCTCCCCATTGTCTGCAATCTGTGTGTAATTCAGTCTTCTGCAAGCTAGTGGAAGAAGCAGCTTCTCTGTCAAGGGGGAAGGCATGAATAAAGGGGAGACGTGATCAGACAGAGCGGCACCTCCAGCTTGGACAGGGAGAGCCTAAAGCAGGGAGGCACACCCAAGGTTAATAACATGTTGCTCCACCAGCTTCTATCTAATCTTGGAAAATGTCCTCTGCTGCAAAGAGAAATGGGGAAGTGATTATGTGACTGGAAATAAGGTCCTGCTCTGCTGTCTAGACAGCTTTAGAAAACAACAAGCCAGGGTGTTCCTATTTATGAAGAATGCAGCTGTACTCCTGCCTTCTCCCAGCCAGGGAAGAAAGTGGTGCACTTGAGGTCATTTAGCTGCAGCGTGCTCACTGAGCCTGTCCATGGGAATTTATTCC